CTGGCCCCACGTACACAGCTTAATTATGCTGTCGCCCCAACCACCAGGCCTGGCAACGCAGCCCACTTCACACATTTCCACCCCACCTCACTCGGTACACCACCCCCCAGCCTATCTTACTCCTGACCAGGCCACTCTTTGCCACTCCCTCTCCCTCGCTTACTCCCACTCCATACTTTTTTCTCCGCATTGTCGAATCTGTTCCATGTGATTCACTCTTTCTTCGCCAATCAAATAGTGACCACCATATCGAGCCACACGTCTGGCTGTCCGTCATGCCGGAGTTGTGGGCAATGAAGGCGCAAGTTCGAGAACTGCGGCTGTGGTGCAAAGCCTAAAACATAAGGCTTCATTCAGTGCCCCCCTTCGGCGACCAACCCTCGTCTCTCGTCTCTATCCTCTGTACACCGGGCCCGGTAACACCGTAGCTGTTAATTTACCAGCTTCAGGTCTAGCTGCTATCTGGCGACTTGGACGCAGTGAATTGGTCCGCCACGTCCAAGTGGACTCTGACTGAATTTAATTAACCCTAATCACCTGTCCGCTCGATCCGGCCAACAGGCCAGTCAATTAACTGCAAACTCTGTGGCCACCACTTTGTCGCCAAGGTTATTTGAACACCCACTTTTCTATCTTCATTAGGATTAAAGATTTCCCGTCGTCAAGTCGTCAAGTCTAGTTGTTGTCATAGCGTTTAGCATGATCACATTCAAGTCACAACGCGCAAGTGCATTGTTGCTGCACTCTGGAAAAGACTCTAATTAAGTCGAATTTCAAAACCTTACTTTCTTCCTACAGCACTATTTCGATGCCTGTCGTGTGAAAGTAAATTGGCTTCATTTGAAGCCGAAGGAGGATGGCCGGTGACTCAGGGCTATCGGATGGTGATAATCGGATATTGGCTCATCGCCGGGTGGCCCGGATACATCCCCGCTAAGCGTTCAGCCATGTTGTGATGGACATCATCATATCAAAAAAACTGCATTTTACCATAAGCGTCTGACTGAAAGCATGCATACTTTGTTTACATGATTTTGCTGGCAGATGGGTAAAGTTGACTCAAAAAGTTAAGGGAATAAGGGTACAAATACTTCCTTGCCTAAATAAACTAGTTTTCATTTATAAATAGGTTTTTAAAATATTCACCAGATATGATATACGATCGAACCTATTTCCTTTAAGATAATAAAGGAGTGGTAGTTGAATTATCCCACTATTATATGAGTAGGCCTAACTTTACCATAGAACTATGCATAGCCTTGCATATTAAAAGGCATTCTTATGTAATAGCTTAATCGAGCTGGACTTCCTTGGAGTTCACGTTTGCCATATGATCTAAGGAGATTCATAGCATTGTAGCGTAATTAATTAATGTCTAGAGAAACTTTGGGTCCCGTGGGTGGAGCTGATGAGATATATTCGAGATCGAAACTGCAGTCCAGACTGGATAAGAATATTTTTTGGGAACAAGCCTATCTAAACTCAATGAAGACTTGGGGTCTACTCATATCATTTTGGGAAAATTTAGTCATCAATCCATGAACATCTTAAACTAATTATGGTGAATACAGGTCCCGAATGAAATAACAATTTATAGTGCTATTTTGACGTGTGTTTCGGCGTTTATTTGCATCTACAGTATCTTTATGCAATGCTCATGAAACAGTCTACATGTCGTGGCCAAAAAGCAGTTCCAGGTAAAAAATAAAAAAATGAAGTTGTTTGACCTGGTTTTCGCAACTCGGTCAAATTGGTAGGAAGACTTAGAGGAACACACCTTGTCCGGAGTCTATTGTATGCATCATCATTTGCAGAGTAGGACCGTGGACGTGGTACATTCCCAGACGTTTCGCCGGCATCGTCAGTGAGTCTCGCCATTCGCAGCACCATAGTACAACTAATCAAAGAGACAAGTGAAGCCCATCATTTGACCAAAAATGTGCTAAACAGTTGTGGTATTTCCCCTTCTGCCCTGGCCTATTCACATTTCCTATAGCCTCCTATCACGCCTTCACTGTTACAATTTTTCCCTTGCTCATTTAAATCTAGTGTACGTCCACGATTCAAATTTAGAAATGATCATACAGACACTGGACTCCGGACTAGGTGTGTTTCTCCAAGTCTTCCTACCAATATGACCAAGTTGCGAAAACAAGATTGAACAACCTACCGGTAGATCAGTAATATGAGATGTATTCAACCTATTTCGTCTAAGGTGATGAACGACTGGTAGTAGAATTTTCCCACAATGATATGAGTTGAGCTGACGTTTCCATTGAAGTTTACATAGCCTTTTGGGAAATCAAGGCTATGTGAAATTCAATGGAAACGTCAGCTCAACTCATATCATTGTGGGAAAAT